TTTGTTGTTCATTTTGTTGTTCATTTTGTTGTTCATTTACTCAGATGGAAATTTTGATGGCCCTTTACACCTGTCATGACAATGTTCGTGTTCCCCTATCAATATGTCATGAAGGACTAGTGTTCCCCTGTCAATATGTCATGAAGGACTAGTGTTCCCTTGTCAATATGTCATTATGGACTAGTGTTCCCCTATCAAATATGTCATGAAGGACCAGTGTTCCCCTGTCAATATGTCATGAAGGACCAGTGTTCCCTGTCAATATGTCATGAAGGACCAGTGTTCCCCTATCAAATATGCCATTAAGGACTAGTGTTCCCCTATCAAATATGTCATGAATGACTAGTGTTCCCTTGTCAAATATGTCATGAAGGACTAGTGTTCCCCTGTCAATATGTCATGAATGACTAGTGTTCCCTTGTCAAATATGTCATGAAGGACTAGTGTTCCCCTGTCAATATGTCATGAAGGACTAGTGTTCCCCTGTCAATATGTCATGAAGGACTAGTGTTCCCCTATCAAATATGTCATGAAGGACCAGCGTTCCCCTATCAAATATGCCATGAAGGACTAGTGTTCCCCTGTCAATATGTCATGAAGGACTAGTGTTTCCCTATCAAATATGTCAACCCTAACAGTCATCTAACCCTTACAATTAATCTTTACAATCAACCGATTGAACCAAACTTTAAAATCAACCTTTTCAACCAACCCATTCACCCAACCCGTTCAACCAACCGTTACAACCAACCCTTACAATCAACCCTTACAACCAACGCTTAGAATCAAACCGACACAGCTCAAGTCACACGACTCCGGAACATGTTTGACACAGGGAATTTTGAGATACCCAGAAATGCTGCTTGGGGGAGCCGAGAGTGGTGGGGGGGGGGAGAGAGAGAGAGCCCCCCCCACTTACCATTTACAGCCCTAAAACTTGGGTCAATTTCGTTTTGCTGACTAGACGATCTTTATAACATTAGTGATCCGTCTATTGGGATGTTGTTCACATACAGAAGCCATTGACATAATCAGAAACAGTGAAGTCGTTAGATAACCTTGAGTGTCAAGAAGTGGCGATATCAGACGGTTAGAGAGTATCACAAAGTGATGATAGCAGACGCTCGGAAAGTATGTTCAAATGTGGTCTTCTTAATTAAGGGCAGTGAACTCAATAAATGACACACTGGTTCTTACCCGTTTAGAGCTGTTGACCGCGAGAGTCCATTACTGAAACACCTCTACTTCTCATCGAACCACAATCATATAGTCCAATTTTAGAGCTCTGTTAACTGTAAGGTATCATCCCAAGACACCATTGTCCAGGTCACAAGTTGACAGTCAACTATGGTCACTGACGCTTCCCCTACATGAAATTCCCGAAAGCTGCGCTCATCGAGATGCTTCAAAATACCGCAGCTCTGTTTTGGGGCGTGATCTTTTCGTTGTGGTTTTAACGGAAGTAGTCTCAGCAGTTGAAACACGGTGTTATAAATATACGGTGGAAAAGGGGGTCAGACATGGCAATATTAATAATAGAGTTCAGGGGCGTTAAATAAGTCTGGGGCTGCAAACGGGGGGGGGGGGAGAGAGCACTAATTGTGATTCTTAAAGAGTGTGTGACGTAAATGCATGTTTTGTCTAATAACTTTATCGGATGGAAAGTTCAAGCATTACGGCCGCCATCGTCCGGCGGGCTAAATATAGACTAGTCACACTTTAAAGGTGTTCAAATAGAAATTTTAAAAAAGTATTGAAATAATACTCACTTTAACAAAAATATTTTAAAATAATTTTTAAAAATTAATTATTTTTTGCCCCCCCCCCCCCAACCTTTCCGCATTGGCTAAAAGAATTGAGAGTCAAATCGATCAATACAAGTCATCACCCTTTCTTAGCACAGTACTGACATTCGGTTTTTAAAAAATTTTTAAAAATTAATTTTTTTTTGCCCCCCCCCCCCCAACCTTTCCGCATTGGCTAAAAGAATTGAGAGTCAAATCGATCAATACAAGTCATCACCCTTTCTTAGCACAGTACTGACATTCGGCACACGGTACCGCCGGCATAACAGGGGTGGGCAGGAGGGGCGGTCTACCATGGGTGAAACTTTAAAAAAAAATTTTTTTGAGTTGTGGCAAACATTCTATCACTCCTCCCCCCGGCAGTACTAAACCATTAGCTACGCCACTGCACAGTACATATTAGTCTAAACGGAGGTGGTGGTGTGGGGGGGGGGGGCGCTTTCATGCCATCAAATTGAGTCACATGACAGATGCGCCAATGAAGCTGTTATTATCAGTGTGATGAATTTCTGAATCGTAAACGGCAGCAAGATGGCGGCATAAGTGTAAAGAGAGCGTGGTCACCACTAGTGCCGACGTGTGTCAAGAGTCATTTTAAACAAACTCTCCCCACGTTACATCTGGAACAAGACAGGAAGTTAGTGCTTCAGAAAAGTTTGGGCTTTTTGTGTGTGTGTGTGTGTGGTGTTGTTTTTTTTAATCTTGAAAAGAAGTTTCTTAAAAGTCAGACGGAATCATGACGGAAGCAAGTCAGAAGGAAACATGGCGGAGTCAAAGGGTTTGGTTTTCCGTACGGACTGCAACGCTAACCCGATACTAAACTAAAAGACAGTCTTTGAAACGGAGAAGTAATGATTTCTTTTCCTGGGAATTCACAACCTAATTTCCTTGATAGTAGTGTACAGTAACAGTTAGTCACGGAATAGTTGAAAAAATAATTTACTGGTGATCAATGAAAAACTAAAATTATATTTGGAATCAATAAACCCTTTAATGTGATTCAATGTGTTTAAAAAAAAATTAAATTTAAAAAAAAATCTAAATTGATTTTTTTGTAAAATAATAATTTATAATTCAGCGTTTCTTAAACTGTGGGTCATGCCCCACGAGTGATTTATTAAGTTATACCTGGTGTACACACGAGACGTTAGGGGAAAAATCCCGTTTGTTTACAAAGTGAGAACCACGTTAGAACTTATTGAGTGCATGTTGACGTAAGTTTTCAGACATTACAACATTTTGAGAACCCTGTACATAATTTTATTTTTTACGTAACCGACCCCAGGTCGCCCGTTTATACGGTTGTCGTTTATATGGAATTGGATGCAGGTCTGTGATCAAGGGCTAAGATTGGATTGGACATGGATACATAAACACTAGGACAAACTAAGTCATTTTTACTCCAGTGGATTTGTCGAAAACACACACATACACAGAGTGAGTGAAAGAGAGAAAAAGAGGACGAGAGAGAGAGAGAGAGAGAGAGAGACTGACCGGCGGATAAAAGGATAAGGCCAAGTCAAAGTGAGACATTACGTACCTTAACAAGAGTCTTGACGTCTCACTACACAACTTAAAAAATTCACGCCAAAATTCTCTCAAGAGCCACCACTTGTGAGTAGGCCCTGGGGTCTGGTCTCAGCCACCACTTGTGAGTAGGCCCTGGGGTCTGGTCTCAGCCACCACTTGTGAGTAGGCCCTGGGGTCTGGTCTCAGCCACCACTTATGAGTAGGCCCTGGGTTCTGGTCTCCTAACCACGATGCTTTGACATACAACTACGCTGTTAGGTCAGAAGGGTTGCTGTTATATACCAAATCGGGTGTACCAAGGGAGAAAATGAAACCGATTGCCTGCTCTTGGAATTCGTATTGGTGTGTACGACGTCATCAATTCGTGTTTCGATCCTCAAAGCGAGGCTGTCGTCATTGGAGGTCAATAACCTCAGGTTTACACGACAGAAGGGGCTTGGCGGCTGATGGGTTGATATCAGTCCTTAACTTAGAAGAGGCGGACTCACTGGTGTAGGAGCGGGGGGTGGGGGGGGTGCGGAGAGAGGGGGGAAGCGGTCCACCCCACGCGGCACTTTTTTATATTTATAGGGGCGGAATTTTCGAGCAAATGCAGACATTTTCAAGGTTGGTTGGGGGGGGGGGGATTTTAGTCGGCTCCAGCGTGCCCTAATCTAGCAAGCCACTGGTTGTCGTCTGCTAAATATTGATGCAGACTTGTTTACCCTCAAACCCTTAAAATCGTACAATATCATATAATCGTTCAATACATTCTCTTTATAGAGCAAAAACGTGATGTATATTTAATATAATGTATACACCTCAAAATCGTACATTGTACGCCAAAATCGTAAGAGTAAACAGGTCTGTTGATGTCATGGTTAGTTTTTATTGGCAAGTCTGAAATTAGACTTTTGGACACTTTGATACAACACACAGTACATACAATCATTGATGTGTCCTCTATGATATAAGACACAGTCCATGCACTCACTGATGTGTCCTCTATGATATAAGACACAGTCCATACACTCACTGGTGTGTCCTCTATGATATAAGACACAGTCCATACACTCACTGATGGGTCCTCTATGATATAGCTTCTCTTCAGTTGTGAGCCAATGTCCTAGCGATACGCCTTTCAGCGCCACAGACTTGACAGAGACCGAAATCTTTGAACCCCCCCCCCCCCCAGACCACCCGTTGACGAAACTCAGAACGGGTTTATTCGCCTGGGCAGCAGACGGCAACCTTTCCCCAAACAGTTTGAACTGTCAACCAATACTAACCAAAATGTCTGCTAACAAATACAAGGTTTCATTTTAAAATAACAAAAACAAACTTTTCTCACTCCGTATTTTTAGAAACACTGGTCTTTGTGTGGCGGGAAAGCGCGGTATGCCGTGGGGGTGGGGGGCAAGGGTGGGGCTGGGGTGAGTTACATCAAGTTTTCAAGTAATTAAGTTCTTTCTTTCAGCTGGCCGGGATTCCGACCGCAAGCAGCAACTCATTCCCATTGGCTGACCGAGTTTTGAGTGACGAGAGTTTTCCTGGAAAAAGGCCCGCAAAGTGAAACAAATCGTTCGGTATTGAAGGCTCCGGTGTGAGGCAGACGGTAAGTGATCAGGGCCGTGGATTCACTCATTTTCACATCCGTGGACGAGTTGGATCATACGCTGACCCCCCCCCCACCCCCTTTCCCGGAGGACAGGCGCCTTCACCTTTACCCCAGTGGTTTTAGGCGCCAGATGAAATCAAAGCGATTGATGAACTTATGGTCTACATCAGAGGTTACCAAACTGGGAGCCATGGCTCACTCACACGGACACCATGGCACCCTGGGGAGCCACGGCTCACTCACCCGGATACCACGGCACCCTGGGGCGCCACGTCTCACTCACCTCGATACCATGGCACGGTGGGGCACCACGGCTCACTCACCGGGACACCACGGCACCCTGGGGCGCCACGTCTCACTCACCGGGACACCACGGCACCCTGGGGCGCGACGTCTCACTCACCTGGATACCACGGCACGGTGGGGCACCACGGCTCACTCACCGGGACACCACGGCACCCTGGGTCGCCACGTCTCACTCACCNCGCCAGATGAAATCAAAGCGATTGATGAACTTATGGTCTACATCAGAGGTTACCAAACTGGGAGCCATGGCTCACTCACACGGACACCATGGCACCCTGGGGCGCCACGTCTCACTCACCCGGATACCACGGCACCCTGGGGCGCCACGTCTCACTCACCTGGATACCACGGCACGGTGGGGCGCCACGGCTCACTCACCGGGACACCACGGCACCCTGGGGCGCCACGTCTCACTCACCTGGATACCACGGCACGGTGGGGCACCACGGCTCACTCACCGGGACACCACGGCACCCTGGGGCGCCACGTCTCACTCACCGGGACACTGAAGGGTTAAAAATCAAATAATCACCAATAATAATTCACTAGGCTTGTATGTATGGATGTAACGATGTGTTCAGTAGGCGTTGGAAATTGGAATTCTTTAAAAATATTGAGAAAACAACGAAAGTGCGTAACTTAAATGCATGTTCTGTCAAGTAACTTCAGTCAGAAATGTTAAAGTAACTTCAGACATTAAATGTTCAAGTAGCTTCAGTCATGAAAAGTTCAAGTAACTTCAGTCAGAAATGTTAAAGTAACTTCAGTCATGAAAAGTTCACGTAACTTCAGTCATGAAAAGTTCAAGTAACTTCAGACATTAAATGTTCAAGTAGCTTCAGTCATGAAAAGTTCAAGTAACTTCAGTCATGAAAAGTTCAAGTAACTTCAGTCATGAAAAGTTCAAGTAAGTTCAGTCATGAAAAGTTCAAGTAACTTCAGTCATGAAAATTTCAAGTAACTTCAGTCATGAAAAGTTCAAGTAAGTTCAGTCATGAAAAGTTCACGTAACTTCAGTCATTAAATGTTCAAGTAACTTCAGTCATGAAAAGTTCACGTAACTTCAAATGTTCAAGTAACTTCAGTCACGAAAAGTTCAAGTAACTGCAGTCATGAAATGTTCAAGTACCTTCAGTCATGAAAAGTTCACGTACTGTCACGGATAAGGCGGAGTTTAGCTCCCACGACGTACGGACGGAAACAGCCCTATGAAATGTATTGTTCCATGACGTACGGACGGCAACAGCCCTATGAAATGTATTGTTCCACGACGTACGGACGGCAACAGCCCTATGAAAAAATTTATTGTTCCATGACGTACGGACGGCAACAGCCCTATGAAATGTATTGTTCCATGACGTACGGACGGCAACAGCCCTATGAAATGTATTGTTCCACGACGTACGGACGGGAACAGCTCTATGAAATGGATTGTTCCACGAAGTACGGACGGGAACAGCTCTATGAAATGGATTGTTCCACGAAGTACGGACGGGAACAGCTCAATAAAATGGATTGTTCCACGACGTACGGACGGGAACAGCTCTATGAAATGGATTGTTCCACGCCGTTGTTGCTCGAGTTAATGCCAGTCATCTCCTAATCACGTGATGTTGAGCAGACTTGCTTTCTAACTGATAACCCAATTAGTCATAAATAGTTATTTGTTATTAAAGTTTTATTCCTTGTTTGTAGTTTAAAAATGGATCAATTTTTTGACTTAACAGCGAGATGTTATATATAGATGTGCATGCACACACACACACACACGCACATACATACACATGCACACTCAGAGAACTTGTCACAATGTGAATGAGAGGACACAGAACTCCGGAGTCAAAGACACATGTGAGTGAGAGGACACAGACCTGCGGAGTCAAAGACACATGTGAATAAAGAGGACACAGACCTCCGGAGTCAAAGATAACGTCTGACCAACTCCGTCTTGATGACGCGCGCCTACCATGTAAAGGTGACGGGGTGAATGTGCCTTAGATTATCCCCATCCCTTTTATTAGCAGGACATTTAGTTTCCCTTTTGTAACAGCGTTTTTTTTTAAATCGTAATTTTAAATCCTTGACACTAACTTGGCTCTTGTTTGTGGCTGGCTGGGCGGCAAAATCTTCGGACAGCTCATTGCCCTACTTCCCGTCAAGCTATCAAGCTAAAACTTGGCAAAGAGATTCATTGCCGGTGACAACACAATCTATCAACTTTTCAACCCCAACCCTCACAAAACAAGTTTGTCCTGTTTTTCAAGGGGACGATGGATTGACATTCCCGATAGCTGCGCTAAATGAGATTCTTAAAAAAACCACCAACCACAAGAGCGTTTGGTGCGTACTGTTTCCTTGTGACTTCTCTGCACTAGTCCATCAAGTCAATCAGCGCTGTGAGAACGGCTGGGGCCTTAGAATAGTAACATAGTTCAGGGGCGTGGAAAAAAATGAGCCGTTGATTTGGGGGGGGGGGGGACGACACAAATTGGGGTTTTTATAAAGGGCTTTACTTGTATGCGGGTTCTGTCCAATGTTAAACCCCCAACCCCCTTTGCTCAATATGATATTTG